CGAGTGAGGGGTACATGCTGGAGGAAGCACTTTGACCACTGGTGTGGAAAGAGAGAACAGGCTGCGGGGCCTCGGTCTGTGGGGGTGGTTCCCCAGGCTGGCAGGTGGGAAGTAGGGGTGAGCGTGTGTGGACACAAACCCTGAGAACATGACAGGGGAAGAAAGACTGCAGTGCTACAGACAGATGCGTGTTCCATCAACATCAGCAGGGGCACCTTTTAGCAGAGAGAAACCAGGAGCAATAAAATAAAAAATTAAGAGATCACAGTGTCTTCCCTCAGGGACAGGAGCACATCTTTGCCAATGCTACCAGGGGACCTGTCGGTCATAATACAAAGTGACAGGCATAGGCAGGCTGCTCAGAATCTTGGAAATGACGAAGAGAAGCAGGAAAGATGGTGACATGGCCCTCAGGCTGCAGGGAGGTCTCCCGGGTCCTCAAGAGAAGATGGGGAGAGCCCTAGCCGGTTTGGCTCAGTGGATGGAGACCCTGCGGACTGAAGGGTCCCAGATTCGATTCCGGTTAAGGGCACATGCCCAGGTTGCAGGCAGCCAATCAATGACTCTCTCTCATCATTGATGTTTCTCTTTCTCCCTCTCCCTTCCTCTCTGAAATCAATAAAAATATGAGGGTTTTTTGTTGTTGTTTAAAAAAAAAAAAAAAAGAAGAAGAAGAGAAAAAACATAGCTTTCAGGTGTGGAGAAGGCACAGTGAGGACCAGAGGGTGGGAGGGTGCCTGCAGGGGAACCCTGGAGAGAAGTCACATCGCTGGAAGCCAGTCGCCTGGCGTCTGCAGCCAATGGGGAGTCCCAGAGAGAAAGACCAAAGAAAATGAAAATAACAACTCCTCCTGCCTGCCTGCGACTCAAACCCCCAAATCAGGAGTTTGTGTTCTTCTTCTGAGAGCGCCAACTGTAGCTGACCAGGTCCCTGCTGCCTGCTGGTCCTGGGAGCTGCTGTTACTGTTCCCTCACCTGGAACTGAACTGTGGGACGTGCAGCATGTGCACACACAAAGTCCTGTTTCCCCCAAACCAGGGGTGGCAGTGAGGGACCCCACATGTGAAGAAGGTGAGCCCATGCAGCATCCTACTCAGTGTGGGGTCTGGAGACTGTCAGGAGGAAGTCATTTAAATGGAGTGAAAAGCAAGTTTGAGAAGGGGCGTGGAGGGCGTGGAGGTGGAATCTGGTCACCTTGCAGCGAGGGGCCGGCTTTGGCAGTTACAGAGCGGGGCAGTGCAGCAACAGACACAAAACCGTGACCTCGAGGTCAGAGACAGCAATACTGAGGTGTATCCACGAGAGCCAAGCCGCCTGGTCGCTTTGATATATACGTTGACGAGGAGAGTGCACCAAGAAACTGGGAAACAAAGTTAAACAAGCAAAAGAGCCTACGTGGGTGGGAGAGTTGGAAGTACTTTGTGGGGAGCCACACCCGCCACCCATAGTTTTTGAGGCCAATATTCAAGTTTGTTTCATCTTTGTGATAACAATGAAGTTAACATTTAGTGAGCATTTACTATGTGTCAGGTAGGGTGCTAAAGGATTTGCAAGCAGTAAGATGAATGAGTCTGCATTACAAGCCTTGGATACGCTATCAGTTACCTTATGCGGCAGCTGAAGAAACTGAAGGGATTGTTGTCTATTTTCCTGATGCCCAAACAGACTCAGAGAGCCAGTCCCTCAGGCAGAGCTGTGCAGCTGTGAATGGCAGGCCTGGAATTCAAGTCAGCCAGCAATTGCCTGTTTCTATGTTTCAGCCCTCAATCGTTCATCACAGGCAACAGACTTTGCTGCATTTGTCCTGGCACCTCTAGAATCCAGCACAGTGCGGTGCACACAGGAAATTGTCTACACATGGGCTCAGACTTGTAGCGACTCCAAGCAACCTGAGTTTGTTGAATGAATAAAGGAATGGCTGAACCTACATTCTAACGGATGACTCTCTTGTGTGCTAGCTATGGGTGGCTGCCCCCAGTGGGGTCTGGGTTCCTGTAGCTGAGGACTTTGGAGGAACTATGATCAGCAGGGGTATTTTAATATATTTTTATTATTAATTTTAGAGAGGAATGGAGAGGGAGAAAGAGAGAGTAACATCAATGATGAGAATCATAGATCGGCTGCCTCCTGTACACCTCACATGGGGAATCAAGCCCGCAACCCAGGCATGTGCCCTGACCGGGAATCAAACCATGACTTCCTGGTTTATAGGTCGACACTCAACCACTGAGCCATGCCAGCCGGGCAACATGGGTATTTTATTTTGTTAAAATATATTTTATTGATTTTTTACAGAGAGGAAGTGAGAGGGATAGAGAGTTAGAAACATCAATGAGAGAGAAACATCGATCAGCTGCCTCTTGCACACTCCCTACTGGGGATGTGCCCGCAACCAAGGTATATGCCCTTGACCGGAATCGAACCTGGGATCTTTCAGTCCACAGGCCGACACTCTATCCATTGAGCCAAACCAGTTTCGGCTAACATGGGTATTTTAAATGGCGTTCCTGTGCCCACCCGGGTATGGAGAGTGATCCAACCCACGGACCACATAACAGTGCTGGGTGAGAGGGCAGGAAAGGACCCAGACCACAACCAATGTGTGCACAGGAGGCTGGGACAGTAGGTGGGGGGAAGGTAGAAAGGGGAAGGGGGGGCTATGCTCAGAGAAAAAAGCTGGAAACACAAAAAGAACAATCTGAAGAAAGGACGGTGGAGAGGTAGATGCAGAGCTGAAGAGACAGGGGGAGGTTGAGGGTGGTGCAGGATGGAGGTCACAGGAAGGCTGGGTCTAATGCTGATGTCAACGCATGATCTGCAGAGGCTGACTCCCCACACACACCTCCTACAGAGCCCCACAGAGCAGAGAGGGGGTGCAGACTGTCTCAGGGGATGGGGGACTGAGCTGTGTGCGGGGCCACGGCACTGCTCTCTGCAGGAGACTTGACCTCTGTCTTCTGAGCCTAAGAACCTTGGACCCATTGGCCACAACCAGGGAGTAAGGGGTCAGGGAAGGGAGGGGAGTGGGTCAGCGATAGTTACAATGAAGAATGAGCACGTGGTGTCCTGTAAAAAGGCAGAAGAGAACATCGCCAGGAACTGGGATCTGGAGCTAGACTCTGGGAAAGCAGAACTGCAGGCACTTGGCAATGTGCAAATGAGCAGGGGGAGAGGAGTCACAAGGGTAAAACCCTCAGGAGAAAAACAGGGCGAAACAGAAGAAGAGGAAACAATGCAAGTTGGCCAGTGTGCAGTTTATAAGAAATGGATACTCGATGCTCAGTGGAAACTGTAGCTCTGGCTCTGGGAATGGGAGAACTGTAAGTACGGATAATATGTAAATACTGTTTATAACTTGGAGAATCTGGAAGGCTCCGATGAGCTGAACTTTCTGAGGGTGCTCTGACAATAATGAAGGAAGATGCTTGTGGCCGAGAGGAGCGGTTGCTGAGTGTGGGATCTGAAAACGAGGGTCCAGAGCCAGCTCTGTGGGTTTGAGGGGAGGCAGGGACAGGCCCCGGCCCTCCCGTTTGCCTTGCGACCTTGGCCCTTTCACACGATGGTGTGAGGGCTGCCTCAGTCTCCCAGGATGACAACAACCGAGTACCACAAGCTGCTTGCCTTACCACAGGAATCTATCCCTCTGCCCGAAGTCCATGATCAAGGTGTTGACAGGACCACAGGATCGAGAGGGAAAGCCTTTCTGCCTCTTTCAGCCTCTGGTGGCCCAAGGGGTCCGCAGCTTGTGCCTGCCGCCCTCCCATCTCTGCCATCTTCACGTGTCCCTCTGCCCTGTGTCTGTGTGCCCGCTCCTCTTTTCATAAGAGCACCAGTCATCAGACTTAGGGGGCCACACTCAATCTCATCTGGAGATTCTTTACTAATTACATCTGCCAAGAGCCTTTTTCCAAATAAGTCCACACTCAAGAGGTCCTGGGTGGACACGAAAATGTGGGGGACACTCCTCACCCCACCACAGGGTCCAAAGGCAACAAAGCAAGGATACTGAGTATGTTCAAATATTTTCCACAGCCTTCTTCTTCTGGTCCCTAAAAGACTACTCTCCTTCTAGTGCCTCCTCCTGCACCTCCAGTGGCTGCCACTGCCCCTCCATAAGTCCCGTCTCTCCGGCAGGCACTGCAGGCTCTGACCGCTTTTCCTGGTTCTGTCGCTGGTGTTTTCCCACCTTCCCCAAAGCATCCACTCAGTGTTTCCAGACAACTGACTCCCTTTCAACCTTTATGACCCAGCGGAAACTTTTCCAAGAAGCTTTCTCAAAGCCCTATAGGAAAATTCCTCCTGCTCTGCGCCAGCCTATCAGGCGACCTCATTAATTCTCCCACTCAGAGGACAAGCAGACGTTCTCCTCCTTTCTCCTTTCCTTCGCTAGGGCCTACGTTCTAGGGGTCCCACACGCTCAATTTGACTGTTCTATTCATTCCAGTTGCATCAGTTCATTCTGAAAGGACAATGCCAAAAGAGGGACTGGATGTGTTCTGAGCCTCAGTGAGGCGCTCCAGGCCCTCTGAGAAGCCCCAACAGTCCCGAGCCCCACAGCCACGGCCACTGGAGAAGGAGCTGGCTCCAAGAAGTGGTCCCTTCTGCCCCTGCCTTCAGCCTTCCCCGCCGTCGCCTCTGACAGCCCCCTGAGAAGTTTTCCAGGGACCAGAGGAAGCTGTTGTTCCAACAGGACTTCCTGAGAGCACAGGCAGGGTTGTAGGTTTGGAACAAATGGACCATAGTATGCAGAGAAGGAATCCTCCTGTGCACCAAGGCTGACTTGGCACGCACACTGCATCCCTCCCCCCAGTCCAGCAGTAAGGCCCATGGTCTTTCCTCCCACATTAGCCAGAAAGCGGGATCGACAACCCCTGCCCTGAGTCTAGGCGGGGGCACGAAGAGCAAGAAGCATTGCTTCCTGTACCTCTCTGACCTGAGTATGAGATTCCCTGGGCAGGGATGGCACAGCCAGGGGGTCTTGGTGGCAGGGAGTCACTCACCAGCATTGTTCTGCTGCTTGGTGTTTTTGATGTAGGCAGAGAACTTGGAGAAGATGTCGATGCCTGCTGTGTTGGATTCCCGGTGCTTCGCAGCCAGTCTGGGGTACCTGCAATGAAAGTCGCGAAGTGCTGGGGTCAGTGAGAACCTGGAGATCCTTTAGGGGTTAATCTGTTCCCGTCCAAGTAGCACTCCTGTCTCTAGCTGGATCTACAAACCCTTTGGGGTGTTACACCCCACTTTAGGAAGGGCGGGCATCTCAACCCCCGTTCACCAACAGAGGACACGGAGGCAGCCGGTGAGCTGCCTGCAGGGACAGTCTGGAGGCAGGAACCGGAAACACCATTCAGAGGGCCCAGGAGGTGCCCAATTCCTGGACCCCCAACAACGATGCACCAATGAAAGGCCTGAATCAGAAATGTACTCAAACTTGGTTCTGTATCAGGCGAGGTCCCTGACAGTACAACAGCGCATACTGAAATCACTACCCACTGCCAGGCCCCTCATTATATCCTGGAGGGGATTTTGAGAGCGAGGATATGCTAGACACCTTGCCACTGAGGCCTCAAAACCACTTCCCGAAAGGAAGTGTAGCATGGTCCTCTTCTGAAACATCCTCCCCACACTCCTTATCTGTGTGCCAGAAGGTGAGCACGGGGCTCCATCAGCAGCTAGAGTGTTTTCTTTCTTTCTTTTATATATATTTACTGATTTCAGAGAGGAAGGGATAGGGAGAGAGAGAGATAGAAACATCAATGATGAGAGAGAATCATTGATCAACTGCCTCCTGCACATCCTCTCCTGGGGATCGAGCCCACAACCCAGGCATGTGACCTGGACCAGAATCAAACCTGGCATCCTTCAGTCTGCAGGCCAATGCTCTACCCTCTTAGCCAAACCAGCTGGGGCGAGGGTTTTCAATTGTGTCATTTCTAAGCATAAATACAGACTGGCCAGGATCCAGCCCCTCTCCCTTGCACATCCTTTCATTTTGAAGTCAGAAGAATATAAAAGGTAGGCTGGGGTTAGGACTGTTTACCATTGAGATAATAGTCCTTGAGAAAGAATGAGATAAATTTACCTGTGTGGGAACCCATGGGTTTGACCCCATTTACACCATTAAAATGAACAATTCATATATATATATATATATATATATATATATATATATATATATATATATATATATATATACATTCATATGTATTCTGTGTGTTTAGCCAGGCTGGGCTGAGGAGATGTAAGACAGTTGCTTGGTTGTCATTATCATCAAGTCTGTGACCCTTTGTGATCTCTGGGTGAATAACTGCCAATGATGAGCTGTTTGGTTGCCTTATATTTGAAAGGTAAACCAGGTTTTTTTAATTTAATGTTTTAAATAATTTGAACCAAAACGCCTTTAAAAATTATTTGTTGTTCTTTCATTTTTTCTGCTTCTCCTCTGGCCCATTAGCTAGGACTGTCCACTCTTGGGCCATGATAGGTAGCTGTTTAATTTCAGATAGACTCTGCTGTTTTACCCTCAAAGCTCCCAAATCCTTTCTGTGCAGGCTGAACACTATAGATGAACTCTCTCCATCCACCAGGAGGGGGCGCTCTGCGCATGTTCTACACACACCATACACACACACACACACACACACACACACCTGTCTTCCTTAGTGTTACTGGGAATTTATCAAATTCATCTGCTCTGATTGGGGGCACACTTTACTGCAAAATGCCAAGTAATCTACCAAGATCCGAGAATTTAGGATAACCCTTTCCTATTTTCGCCTTCTCACGGAGAATCTGGCATGCTCTTAGAACTGATTGCCTTAAGTTATTAATAGATACCCAATGCTTTGTTTTTGCTTGATAAGGTAAAAATGGAAAGAGAAAGGGGCCTAGAAAATGCATTTTTATTTAGGTTTGGGTTCGTTAAGTGTGTTTTTTTAATGCCATCATTTGTTCACACTTACAGTATTCTGATCACTTCTTTATGATCAGTCTGAGACAAACATGGGTGGGTGGTACCCAATCCAAGAGGGAGGACAAGGTCCACTTGTGGGTGGTCAGGGAGACCACTGAAGTGCTGTTTGTTTGCTAAGCACTAGGACTCGTTGAGACCTTCCTGAAAAAGCAATATTCCCCACGTCAATCTGTCCTTTGGGGAGTGTGCCTTCAAATATGAATCTCACAGGTTTCAGTAACTAGACTTGAGGAGGTTACTGTGTGCAGAATATTAAGGATATTTACTTCAGCTCCATATTCACACCATATTTTAAATATGCAACAGGGGGGCTACAGAGTCCATCCTCTTTCTCCAGAAGGCTAGAGACTAGTGTTTCATTCACAGAAACATCTGTGAAATAAGGTTGTGATGTCTGGTGACAGTCAAGGCAATGGCGAGTTTCTCTAACTCAGAGGTTGGCAGTCCACAGCCAGCAGGCCAAATCCAGCCCAACATCTGTTTACACGATTAAAACAAGAGAGATGTTACCTTGTGATGTGTGAAAATAACATGAAATTCAATGTCAGCATTCATGAATAAATGTTATTGGAGCACGGCCATGGCCATTCATTCACAGACTGTCTATGGCTGCTTTCGCTTTATAAGAGTGGGGTTGTGACCGAGACTATGACCCACAAAGGCAAGCAGACTCGCCATCTGGTATCTGGTGCCACATAAGACTTTGCTCTAACTAATGAAAATTTTTCTCCACTGTTTTTAAGACATCTTATTTCAAATGTATTCATCTTAGACGTGCCCTTTAGTTTCATTCTGGGAAGTAAAACAGTTGCCCCCACTCCCCCAAAAGACACACTTTCTTTTGTAAATGGTAGCAAAAATACATATATGATTGTAGATAGAAGAGCTTTCACTGGCCTAGAATCCCAACTGACTTCTCATTGGCCAGACATTGACCATCACACCTCTGAAAAAGGGCCCCAGTGCAAGTAAATCAACATGCCGTTCGTGCCTACCAGCAGCCAGGCCTTGACCCTGATGTTGGGGCTCCTCTGGAGAAAAAGAGAGTCAGTCTTCCTGTCCTCGTGGAGTGACCTTTGCTGATTTCAGGGGCTCCCCAGACAGTTTGAGTGTTGACTTTCCTTTTTCTAATGAGCTGAAAAGTGAGTGGACTTGCCCTCTGTCCCTTCTCCATTACCTCTGCTTCCTCTTCTCACCAAACCTTCCCTGAGAAGCAGGCTAATGGCTTCCGACTCTTCCGACCTTTGATTGTGAGTTTGCCTTGTCCTGTCTCTGCTCCTTAAGCAAATGAGCCTTGGAGGTGGACGGAGTCTGGCTTATTCATTAAAGGACACCCACTGGGATCTGTGGTTTTAAGATCTAAGCTCACCCGTTGTCCTTACAGTCACAAAAGAAGCATTGACTTCTTTTTCTAACTCTTCAAGCTGCTATTCAATGAGCTCTTACGCTATGTCATTCACCAGGATAAGTAGCACTATCTTCTACAATAGTCCCTTGAAATCAGCATTATGGTCATCATTCTATAGATGTGAGAACTAAATATTAGAAAGATTTTAAGCCCTGGCCAGTGTGACTCACTTGGTTGAACATAGTCCCATGCACTGAGAAGTTGCTCCTTCAATTCCCAGTGAGGGCACATGCCTGGGTTACAGGCTCGATCCCTAGTAGAGGGCATGCAAGAGGCAGCCAATTGATGTTTTTCTCACCCTCTCCCTTTCTCTTTTTCTAAATCAATAAAACCATTTTTTTAAAGGAAAGGCTTTAAGTAATTTACCTGTAGCAGACATCACTCATGCTCAGTAAGTATCCATGTGTTACTCTGCTTTTCCCAGCTTCTCACTCTGTTTGGTTGGGGTCACGTGATTGGAACCTCACCAACAGGGTGTCACCAATTGGCTCTTCCCAATTGATTTCTTTCTTTCTTTTTTTAATCCTTACCCAATTTTTTAAAAAACAGATTTGAGGAAAAGAGAGAAACATCAATTGGTTGCCTGCCTGCAGGCACCCTGACTGGGCAACCTGGGCATGTGCCCTGCCAGGGAATTGATCCCTTGAGTATGGGACAATGGGACAATGCTCCAACCAAGGGAGCCACAGCAGCCAGGGTTCTCCCTGTTGATTTCTCTACCTTTAACTCTTCCAATCTCTGCCCTCCTCATCTCCCTACTCCTAACCTGGAAAGTAAGCCTGAAAACTGACTCTCCAGCTCATTCACTTAGAATTTTTCATGTATCCTTCAGGATAAAGTCAGAGCTCTATACATAATATTACTTTTCTATTAAAAAATAAAAAAACTTTAGTGATTGTCTTAATCCCTAATTATAATTTAATATAACAAACAAGTCCAGTTCCAGCTACTTTTAGACCCCATCTGCCCGTTACTCCTTTTTTCCTTGGGGAGCAGCTTACGTACCTGACAGGAAACTACAACCCCCGGTCTCCCCTCCCCGTGCCCTTTCTCAGAAGAGATGCTACTCTCAGTGTGTTTTCTCATGTCTAATTATAACCTCAGACCAGACCTGGTCCGATTTATAACTCTTATTCATGCCTTCGTGTGGCTTTGAATTGTGAGTTGCCTCTCTCCTGGCTTATTTTCATTTCATTAGCTTTTCAGCTCTCTTTCTGAAATGAGGGAGATTTTGCCCTCATGTGGGGGTCTTCCAGGCAAAGTGAGCTGGAGAGAGGACTTCTTTAGGGGAGTGGAGGGTGCTAAGTTCCCAGTGCTCCTGAAGTCATCCTTAGGGGGAATGATCTGCCCACTTTGTAGTTGGAGTTGTGGAGTTGGACTTTCTGGAGCAATTTTGAGATTGGCAGCTCTTCGGGGGTGAGGAGGGGTGCCCTGGCCTGTCTCTTTGAAAAGAGGGTCCTATGCTCTGAATGAACCAGGCCCCTTTGGAAATCCGCCCCTCAACGTTAGCACTGCAATATTGTCAGTTCCCACATGGCCCTCCCTGCCGTTAGCCATGGAAATAAACAACTCATTACTTTTCAGGGGTCAGAGTCTCCTCCAGGAACTCCTCGATCTTATTGACGTCCGTCTTCACATCCCCGTTGAAGGTCAGGAAGGGCGGATGGGTGCCAGGCGCGAGGTTGTGCAGGTCGGCTGGCTTTCTGTGGAGAGAGCAAGATTCAGGGGTGGCTGACACCAGAGCAAGTCACGTTCAAGGAAACCTGGGGCTTGTCATGCATTACACTCGGGTGCTTTCCAACATGACTGTCAGCAAGACAGACTTACATTGTAGGGTGGGGAGTGCAGAGGGGGAGGGGGGCTAGAAAGGTTCTGAGGAGGATGAGGTGACACGGGAAGTCCCTGGGAGAGGAGCAAGCTAAGAGGAAGGAGCCGAGTACTATTTAAAACAGAGAGTAAGTGGCAGATGACTATGTAATTAGTGCCAAGCATTCAATACCCAGGGCAGAGGATGGACTTTGCTTTCAAAGGTTCCTTCACCACTTAGCTTAGCAAAAATGCCCTGCCCGGAATTCCCAACCTCATACATGAAGGAGTGCAACCCTCTCACCTTTACGCTAAGAAGTGTCCTCTGCGTGGCTAAGGGTTTATTCAACCGGAAGGGGAGTGAGCTTGGGTCTGACAGGGGCCCTGTTTGTGCCCACCGGGGCTTCTAGGCTCCCACCAGCTGTTGGGATGCAAGAGAGGGACGGAGCCAAGTCAGGGGGAGGGGGCTGACAGATGAGGGGACAGCGAGGGAGGGGGAGCACTGGAAAGAGAGGAGGAAGCAGAGGAATCTATGGAGCCTTTCAGAGGGCAGTAACATTCGCCCCAGGCTCTCTCAGGTGCCACACTTGTGGGAGTCCTGAGCGGGAAAACAGCAGATGGGGAAACTGAAGAAAAGTAAACAGCGGGAGAGGAGGAATCTGTAATGCTGCAAATTCCAGGCCTAATCAGTCTGGGAGGGGAAGAGAGGAATTTCAATTACCGTGGGGCTCCCACATCGCCCCCCAAACACACTCTGCCCAGCTGCACTCAGCACTCGGAGCTCCAAGGACTGAGACTGCAAGTACTTTTAAAATCTAATTTACTGATTAATCTAATCAGCCCCTTTGTTTGCTTTGTACGCGTCCCTCATTTCAGACAATGTAAGAACATTCTTTACCTCCTCCTCCTGTTTTTTTTTTTTGTGTGTGTGTGTTTTTAGAGCTGCAATGCTTGGGTTCTCAGCTGGGAGTGGAAAACCATACCGATTTTATTTTTTAGCAATTACCTCTCTAGCTTAAAGATTCAGAGATTTATTATTTATTTATTTTTTTGCTTTCCCCCTCTCCTCCCTGGGACTGGAGAGAACAGTGGCCTCTGGAGTCAGGCATCCTGGGAAGCATCGCCCACAGCTGAGGCTCCGCTGGGCGTTGCCAGTGGATGCTGGTCAGCTGTGGTGCTCTCTCTGGTCCTCTTCAGCATTTATGGTTGAAATTATATACTTGGCATTTACATACGCATTGCCAGGTCTAATTCACGGGTTACCGAGTATACTAGCTTCTTCCCCTGACTGGGCTGCAGCTCCCTGAGGCAGGGCTGATGCTAACAACAGCCAACACGTGCAGAGTTCTTGCTCTGAGCAGGCCCAGCACCGCGAGCAGATGCTTCAACACGGCTGCTCACTAACTCCTCACAGTGACCCTAAGCAAGGCAGATGAGGAAACCAAGGCTTATGAAAGTAACTTGTCCAAGGTCACTCAGCCAATAAATGCTGGTGCCAGGAAAATAAATCAGTTTTGGAAATTGCTAAACTTCTTGTAGTGTATTATATCATACATTTAAAAAAAAAGTTCCTTAACTATATATTTTTTTTCCCCCTCCCTTTCTCTCCTCCTCCTTCCCCCCCCTCCCTTCCTCCTTCTTATCTTTTTCTTTCCTTTGGCAGTGAGAAAGTTTGCTTATCTGTAAATCAGGAGTTATGATATTTGCTGTCCTCCCGCACAGGTGTTGGCAGGGTCAGATGTGATAACAGATGTGAAGGAACAGCACAAGCACGTGAGGAATGCAGGGTGGCTCCCTCTGCCATTCTGAGCTCCAGGTAACACACAATCCATGTTTATGGGTGGTAATCCAGAGGCCTCCTCCATTCTACTGAAGAAAGCTACTCCCTTTAGTTGTCACAGACAGTAACTTCACCGCAGATGTACGCTCACTTATTTGACAGACATTAGCTGTGTCTAAATCAGCGGCTATGACTGATATAAGAAAACAAAACATGACCCCAGCCTCTTCCTGAGGGACTTAAGTTCTCATTTGGAGGACGAATGGTATGCTGTGAAGACAATGGCATTTGAGCCAGGGAGAGCGGGTCTGGGAGCAGGCCCTGCAGTTCAAGATGGCACTTGGGAAAGTCATTGAGATGTGTCCCTCTCAGTTTTCTTGTATAAAATGAAGAAGCCAGGCCTTCACAAGGGCATCTGCTGTGTGATACTTTTATGAAAAAGCGCTCACTAGTTGTAAAGTGCTGGGCCTGTAGATACCACAGTAGGTGAAATGCCAAATGAGGACACTAGGCAACAGGGATAACACATGTTGGGGAGTTTGGAGGAGGCTGAGTGACAGATGTGCCTGAGAGCAGAGAGTGGGGAGGGGTGGTTTCCCGGGGGAGGGCCACACTGCTAGGGGGCACTGGGACAACCTGTCCTTTCAGGAAGATGGGCCAGCCTCTGGGAGGCAGGGAGCATCTGCCAGGTGCTGGAGGCTGGCGAGGACAGGGCAGCAGAAGGCCGTCCAACCGGACAGCAACCGCAAGTCAGAGAGAAGCGTGGAGAGAATGTTGGGAAGAACCAAGGAAAAGACAAAGGCAAAGGAAGGCTGCAGAGGAGTTATTCCGCAGGCGCTGGGAGGTGTCAGAGGTGTCCTGAGCAGAGGGAGCCATGTGATCAGAGCATCATTTTAGAGAGAATAACCTTAATACAATATAAAGGGGAGGGGAAGAGAGAGAGAAACAGACAGACAGACACCTGGAAGGATCCAGAAAAAGGAAGACCAGTTTGAAGAGAAAACAATGCAGCTGGCAGCAGTGGGTCCTGAACCAGGGCTGTGAGAATGAACAAGAGAGTTTGGAGTAAGATGGCCCAGTGGCAGAGTCCCTGACGGACAATGAAGGTGGCAGGAGAAGGGAGCTGGAAATGCTTCAGCTTAGAAAATGGGAGAAAGGAATTCAGGAGGGGAGCCCCTCTCAAAGGAAATGGACAGAGAATTCTCTACATAACGAGTTTGAAGTGATCATTGAAAATACAGGTGACATAACCAGAAGATAGCAGGTTCTAGATACAGGACAATCTGCATAAAAGTGACTGAGTTTAGATGCTGAGCTCACAGGGAAGGAAGTCAGGCATGTGATAAAAACATTCAGGGAGTGAGCTCCCAGCAATACCACACTTAAAAAGATAGGTGGCCGAGAAAAAATAGAAAAGATTGAAAAGAGGGTGAGTTAATACAAAATAATAGTGAATAAACGGTAATTTAAAAAAATAAAATAATGAGGCTCCTGATAGTGAACAATGCCTGGTATTTTTATGAAGCATTTAAATAAGGAACACTAATAACTTTCCATCCTGTGGGTAACCCAGAGCTCTCTCACTAAGGAACCCTAAGGATGGGATGGAGCAGGAGAAATGGGCTGGATTCCAACTTCCTGGAAACTCAGACTCTGGCCCCTGAAGCCCTACTAGGTTTCCCAGGACTGTGGGAATGGCTGACTCCTGGATTTTAAGATGCCATGCCCATCTCTGTGCTAGGCATTCTCAGCTGGGTACCTTCCACCCATTCCCTCCTTCTTCCTTGCTCATTGAACTCTCCTAATCTGGGCATTGAAGCGCTCAGCCCCAAGCGAGACACTGGTTTTTGTCACTAGGGACCTGGCCGAGGGGGCTGCCGGAAGCCATGGGCAGGCTTTTCCCTCCCTCGTGGGAGATTCTCTGTCTGCAGCTAAACACGTTCCTCATTAACATAGCACCGTTTACCTTTTCAGGTCCACCGTGGTGACATTGAACACGACTCCTTTCAGCCAGAGGATCATAAAGAGGCGCTGAGAGAAGGGACAGTTGCCGATGCTTTCCCCATCGATCCCGGCCTAGGAAAAAAAGCAGAGTCCTGAGCTGTGCAAGCATATCAACAAGAAGGAGCAGAGGATCCTAACTCCCAAACAATGGTCTGAAGATAACTGACTAAACCCTGCCCCAGCCCAACCCCTGAAGGTATTCGCCTTTGTCTTCCTAGCGTCTCTGCATCTCAATGCGTGGCATAGGGTGAGGGCTGGACAGAATTTGAGTCTCCAGTATGGCGATTATGTAGTCATGGCTTTCTGAAACCATAGAACCCTAGATTCTGAGGGGAAAAAAGAACTTCAATATCACATCATCTAATATCAATGATATTGGGTCACCAATTGCTGCACCCCAAGTAATTATGAGTCTGTGCTTGGCTATCCCCACTAATCAACCAGTAATTTATCTCTCAAAGCAGCCCATTTGGAGGACAGTTCTAACAATGAGAAATGCTTTTCTTTGATTCTTCCTGACCTAAATATGTTCCTCTGTACTTAACCCTCTCTGACCCTTTGGGCCTTGCTCCATGACGGTGCCATGTGTACAAACACCTCAGACCTCGGCCCTATCTCCCTATATCTCACTAGTCAGCAGACTCAAGACTTTAATCAATACACTTAGTTCTGACTAGTACTGGACCGTCAGTGTCAATAAACCATTTTAAAGTATCCTTTCACCGAACAAATACATATTGACTATCAATTATGTGCAAGACACTGGAGGAAATTATACAGGGGATTCAGAGGAATCGCATGGCCTTGTGGGCTGGGCAGGGGATAGACAGGAACAGGAATATGACAATAGCAGATAGCATTACTGGGCACTGGCATGCTCTGCTCATCACACCTCCCCTTCTCGGAACCCTCCTCAAAACAGCGTGTTTTATGTTTTTGCTTTTGTAACGTTTGAAAGGCAAGTCTATCTTTACTTCTGAGTGGGTTGCAGGGACATGAATTTTATAAGAATTCATCTCAGCAAGCGCACACGCACACACACACACACACACATACACAGAAAGGCTGGAGAACTGATCTCTATGTAATTTATTTCCCCAGAGTGGTTTATTGTCCCCAGCCTTGGTACGTAGAGGGAGAAGTCACCTACTCTCCCTGGTTTGCTGCTGGCTCCCCTGGACACCATGGCCTCATCTGGGGACCCAGGCACCTGGCTCCTCTGACAGGGAGGCCCGAGAGGGGAGGCCCCCAGACCAACTACGGTAGCAACGCTGCAAATAATCCAACATATTGAAATAGGGACTCACTAAGATTTTTTTTTTTTTTTTTTAGGGAGTAAAGCAATGCATTCTCAAAGCTCAACACATTATTTCCCCCCTGAGGTTTGCTTTGCTGAGGCCTTAGTATGGAGGAGTGAGGCCTTGCATACCGAGAGCCTAATTGTGTGCCTATTTCTGTCTTGCAAATCACTCCCAGCAGAGGTTCGGGTTTATAATGGAAAACTGGTGCCTTTGCCAGTGTTGGTTGTAGGTAATTGCTATGAAATTACAGTTATTTTACCTCTCTCTTAACTACACCAAGAGCCCCATCCCTATTCAGTTCTCACTTTTCCCCGATGTTGGAAACAGACCCACCACTGCGTAGTCGAGATGCCCTGGGCTCCATTATATAAAATCTGAAAGATGGGAGGGCACTGGTGTGCTTGCCAGCAGAGCTAAAGTTACAGATAAAGCTACTGGAGACAGGCAACTATTACGCTAACAATAGCTTGGAGCTAACTTGAATTTGTGATGTCAGAGTCCTCACTCAGCAGGTACCTGGCACTTGGACCTTTAAGACATCATAACAAAGGTACTTTCCCCAGGGCTGGTTCCACTGTAAGGAACAACTGAAGAATTAAAAAACAAAACAACAAAAGACACATTCACAAACTAGCCTCTGATTTACCTCTGGTGATAAGAGGGTGATAAAAAAAAAAATTAAAGGAGGAACTAGTAAAATACTAGAATTCTTATTATCTGGACAAAAATTACATAATAATGATAGTAATAATAACTCATTTCTATATTGCCAGACATTGTTCTAAGGGCTTTACATCTATTGCTAATTCATGAGAAGTGGGATATTATCACCTTTTTACAAATGTGGACACGAGGCACAGAGAGGGCCATTCATATACCTGCTGGCCATTTTGTCTTCTTTGGAGAAATGTCTGCTCAAATCCCTAAAAGGTGTGAGGGAAAACCCAATGCCTGCACCCTCTTGCAGTCCAGGAGCCCTCAGGGGATGTCCAACTGACAGCTTAGGCCCGCTCCCCCCTAGGCAGGAGAGGCTCCCACCACCACCATTTCACTCTCTCTCAAAAAACCAATCCTATCTAATAAAACCCTAATATGCAAATCGACCAAACGGTGGAATGACTGGTTGCTATGAGGCCCATTCCACTAGGGGGTAGACACTGGTGGTCAATGCACATGCCAGCCATGAGCCCAGCTCAGGGCTTCTGGCTGAGCAGCACTGCCCCTGTGGGAGTGCACTGACCATCAGGGAGCAGCTCCTGCATTGAGTGTCTGCCCCCTGGTGGTCAATGGGCATCATAGCAACCAGTCATTCCACCGTTCAGTCAATTTGCATATTAGGGTTTTATTAGATAGGATTGGGTTTTTTTTGAGAGAGAAACATCGATGTGAGAGAGAAACATCTATTGGTTGCCTCCTATACTCCCCCTGACTAGGATCGAACCTGAAACCTAGGTATGTGTCCTGACCTGACTGGAAATCAATCCCACCACGTTTTGATATAGGGGAATATGCTCCAATCAACTGAGCCACCCAGCAAGGGCCCCCTTTTTTTCACTGTTAAGTTGTTCAGCTTTTTCTTTTCCTCCTTCATAAATTCATCAGTCCTGGGGCCTGAATGAACCATTTGTTAAATCCATGAGTTAAATGGGGTGAGTTTGTGGCAACCATTTAAAACGTCAACCAAGAAGAATGAGGTGGGGCTCTATGGGATCCCAGATCCTAAAAAGTGTGAGGGAAAAACCCAAGCAGACTTTGGTCCAAACAGGCTCTGAGCACTGGGGCTGGAGGCAGGAACAAAGCGGTGTGTAGGTTGAATAATGCCCTTCTCCAAACTCATGTCCACCCAGAGCCTGTGAGTGTGACTGTATTTGGAAATAGGGTCTTTGCAGGTGAAATCAAATTAAAATGAAGTCACATTGAGTTAGGGTAGGCCCTACATATAACTGGTGTCCATATAAGAAGACAGAGACAGAGATTGGAGTGATGCTTCTACAGACCAAGGAACCCCAAGGATTGCCAGAAAGTGCAGAAGTTAAGAAAGACAAGATTCTTCCTGGAGAGGTTGGAGAAAGCATGGTCCTTCTGACACCTTGATTTCAAACTTCCAGGCTTCAGAACGCCGAGAGAATACATTTCTGTTATTATAAGCTACACAGTTTATGGTCATTGGTTATGGCAGCCACAGGAAACTAATGCAAGCAGGACAGTGCACAGCTAATGGAAAGTTCTAAAGTTCACAATTCTGCTTTGCCATGGGCCTAGTGGACATGCTCACAATTGCCAGCCAGCTACACCCCCAAAGTACTTCCTATAACCTAGAGTAAATGTATTGACTGTCAGTTACACTATGTTATACTATATTATCTATAATAATAAAGGGTAATATGCTAATTAGACTGGATGTCCTTCCTTCTGGACAAAGCCACAGCAGGCGGGGGTCAAGGCAGAGGCCCCTCCCCCTGGCTGCGGCAGCAATGGGCGGGGGCCAGGGCCAAAGCCCTTGCCCAAATTTCATGCATCCAGCCTCTAGTATTACATATTATGTTACACTATATTATATATTGTACGTTGAATAAAACTTATAAAATATCATACAGTATACATGGATTCATGCACCAGACCAGTTTTGGCCCGATCTCTGCAGGCCAGGCCAAGGGACTCAACCAATGCACAAATTCATGCACTGGGCCTCTAGTTTGCATATGAGATCTTTGGTTAATCTCTGCCCCCCTTCTCTCCTTCCCACTTCCCTCTGTTCCATGTTTCCATGCCTGTGTGTTGAGAATCTGCCCCTGGCGGTCAGTGCGTGTCATAGCTACTGGTCAAACAGTCGAATGGTTGTTTAGGCTTCTATATCCAATATAATAAAAGAGTAATATGAAAATTGACTCTAATGGCAGAATGACAAGAATGACCGCTCGACCATCACTATGAGGTGCACTGACCATCTCTCGATCCCTTTCCCCAGCCAGCAGGCTACAATTGCCCAATGGCAAGTGGGGAACTGGGGATGGGTGGCGGGGGACATGGGTGGCACCAGGCCAAGGCTCCCACCCCACCAGTCACCCCACACACAGATGGCAACCTACAGTGGGGGCAGGACCGGCAAGCAGGTGGGAACAGTCAACTTCTTAGTCCTTTCCCCCAGCCATCAGGCTCTGATCACACAATGGCGAATGGGGAACTGGGGTGGGTGGTGGTGGAGGGTGGGGCTGGGCAGCTAGGGAAGATGCCCCTGATCGCAGGCCAGGTCTAAGGACCATACCAATGCATGAATTCGTGCACCTGGCCTCTATTTTATCATTTGATATAAGTAATATCAAATGATAATAATAGCATAATGTAATTTCATAGGTTGTACGATTATACACTATATGTTATATGCTGGGAAAGTCATTACATGTCTTTCATGTAGTCTTTCCTATCAACCTGCAAAGTCTCTATCAACAAGCTCATCTACCCCCCAAAACATGGACCATGTCTTATTTACTTTGATTTTAGCAGCAACAAGCTGCTGGAGACTTAGTTGATACTCAGTGCCTGTTAGAGTGGATGCCTGTTGAGGGGAGGGTGACATCACTCCTTTATGGCCTGACTATCTCAAAATGCTGATGTTGGCACTCTGAAGAGTGTCCTGAGAAACAAGCAGAAGACCATAGCTCTATACCCACCCCTGCCTCCAATTCATTGTGTGACCCTGACTAGACCAGTCACCTCCTCTCTTGGCCTCAGTCATTGCACTCATAACTTCCTGCAATTTTGTGAATTCAA